TCCTTCTCCTCCTTGAGTCTGAACATCTTCGCTTCCCAGGCCGGCGGGAGTGCACTTAGTGCTTTATCGGCAATGGTCTTGTCTCCTTCAGCAATGTGATAGGCTTCACACGCAGCCTGCATAGCAAACAGGGAAAAACAGAGAGAGAGAGAGAGAGAGAGAGAGAGAGAGAGAGAGAGAGAGAGAGAGAGAGAGAGAGAGAGAGAGAGAGAGAGAGAGAGAGAGAGAGAGAGAGAGAGAGAGAGAGAGAGAGAGAGAGAGAGAGAGAGAGAGAGAGAGAGAGAGAGAGAGAGAGAGAGAGAGAGAGAGAGAGAGAGAGAGAGAGAGACAGTGAGAGAGAGAGAGAGACAGTGAGAGAGAGAGAGAGAGAGAGAGAGAGAGAGAGAGAAAGAGAGAGAGAGAGTGAGAGAGAGAGAGAGAACATTACAGATAAGCGAACAATTTCCTTAGAGACAAGAATGCAAGAATGTTCATTTGATTTTGCCTGTATTTCACCTGATGATAAGGTATGAAAGTATACTAGTGAACACTTTCAAAATGTTCAAGATCCTGCAGTGTGTCCTACTTCTAAATAAAGGAGAGCATAACAACTAGACTATCTCAGCAATCATTCCATTCCCCTTTCTTGCATTTTAAAATGTTCTTCTTTGTGCTCACAGGCAAAAAAACAGGCAGGCATAGTGGGATGGTCTAAGACCATGATTGAGAAACAGAGGGTACCAGGTTCAAGTCCTGCTTGGAAGCGGAAGGATTTTCTCCAGCCGTGCTGCGACCCACAGTTAATTGGGAACTCGTGGCCTGGCACGAGGAAAACATGGATGCAGTGAATGGGATTTTCGGTCTTTGACCACATGCTGGTGAGCTGATCTACTCGCCTCCCACCGCTTTAGGAGCTGCATCTGCGCCTTGATCCTTGAAGGGTGGTGGCGTTCCTACGGATGCGGAAAACTCGGCCTCTATATAGAGCAACCGAGTCTGACGTGAACCGTGAAATTATTATTATTATTTTTCTTTGTGCTCTGCCCGTATAACACAACACGCATCAACAGAGCAGCATAGCCAGTGGCTGGCAATGACCAAGTTGCACACATGTAAGAACAAGCTGTACAACCGTCCTGCTTTTGACCAAAACATTTGTATTACATGGACGACAATTGCCTTTGTAAGTTTGTATACATTTTATATACATGTACGTGTCCTGCTTTGGAACGTGGTAAGTTTGGACAGACTGTAAGTAGGCATAGCTGCCTTTTTGTGATCCAATTTTTGATAAAAGTACAACGCTGACCACGACCGTGCCAACAACAACAACAACAACAACAACAACAACAACAGCACCTCTAGAGTTTGCCCAGTAAGGCAGTGAGTGGGTGGGTGTTTGGCTTACCAAGTAGCACTTCTTCATCCACTCATGGAAGGACTCCTCCTGGCCGCACAGCTCGTCACCTTCACCAACATCATGGACGCTCTCACCACCCAGGCTGCGGGAACGAGACGGGCAGAGGACGAAGAGCACACACGCAGGCGACCATGATGTGATTTCTTGTACCACAACTTGACACGATACTCACACATGTGTTCATACCAACGCATTATGTCCACACTGCAAAAACACATTCTGAAAATATTATCGTTGTTATGATGGCCCGAGGCTGGTCGCCTATCCAGAAGTTCGCCGCAATGGATGATGTGTATTGGTGTAAGTGAGAAAGCGAGACGGGCGAGAAATGATTTCTCGCGATGTCTCTCCTGAGTGACATCTGACTGCGGCCTAATAATACCCCTCACTTTGTGTACTCCTGTCTCTGCTGTCTGTGTTTGGTATGCCGGTAGATGTGGAGCGAGAAGAATATCCATTGGCATGTTAGAACACCATCAGCTGACACACAGATTGCAGTTTTTAAAGAGCGAAGGTCTATGCAGTCTGCTGCAAGTCGACAAATTTTCCGCCCATTCAAATTTCGGCCTCCCAGGGCTAAAACCCATTTCGGCCGCATCAAGGTTTCGGCCTGTACTGCCTGTATATACTGTCCCACTGAAAAACCTTTGGGAAACAAATTTTCGGCCGCAACAAATTTTCGGCCAAACATGACCAGGCCGAAAATAGCCGAAAATAAAATTTAATATGAGCCGAATATTTGTTGATTTACAGTATTTGAAGTAGATTTGACGGGCCTGTACATGGGAAATATGAGGTGTGCAGGGAGGGGGGGGGGGGGGCAGAACATTAGCTACTATGCAAACCACAGCAACACTTACTCCTTGAGCACGTCGTGCATGTCTTTTCCAAACTTGCAAAACTGCGGGTACGCGCGAGATCCCAGTCCAAACACACAGAACCTGGAGGAAATGAGGTAAAGACAAAGTGCAAAGAGAAACAGAAATCTCCTTCTGCCTTACTTTGAAAGCTTACTTTTAAAGGAGCAATAGGTGGTGAGATGTGGTAAGCTCGGACAACCTGAAGTCTCATCCTAAAATGTCTAGTGTTCTAGAGGCACCGATGTCATAAAAAATGTGGAATGAACTTGCCACTCCGTCGCCACAGTGCCCCAGCGAATGTGATGTGGAATGTTGCGCAACCACTGCCAAAACATCAAATGCCTTCATTACGGCCAATGCTGTATTTGGAAGGGCAAGTGCTCGAGGGCGGTGCAAGTGAAAAGCCACTTACTTGATATTCGTCAGCCACTGGGAGTTGTCTTCTTCGGCATTTGCCATTTCCGTCAGCGTCCTGAAGAATTCCTGAAGGTGGATAGGTTCGGGAGAAGATAACAGAGGTTTGATGAGATGATAGGCAAAACTGTGCAACAGGCTTTCATCAGCTCAAGCACCACATCCGACACCGACTTACCACACCGTTCTCCGGGGGCTCTCCATTGCCGAAGGTGCTGGTCACTATGACAACCATCTGCTCGTGTTCCAACTCCAGCGGGTTGTACTCGTCCATGCACGTTACCTTGGCAACCACAACGAATAGATCAATACACGTTTAAAGTGTTTACCAACTGTATTAAATCATTGAAGAAAGAGAAAAGCTCCAGGCAATTATTGGCTCTCCATCTGAGTCCACCCTCGCTACAGTCTCTCAATCCTAAACTGTTCTGCTTCACCAGTAAGGACCACTGGACTAACTGTATATCTGAGTGTGTAGCTGAGCTAGCCAGATACAATGTAGGAATAGAGGTTCATTCTCCCACTATCCGGAAATCGGGCAAAGGGCAAGACCGCCGGAAGGAGTTTTCAATTGGTCCTGTCGTACAGTGGTTCTTTCATACAGTTTGTGTATAATATGGCGGGGGCATACATGTATGCCCTGCTCAGCAGCAAACATGCGTTGGTAGTGACAAAGTCGGTCCGGTGTTGACCTGACCAACCGGACCGGTTCCGGCGGGCCTGTGGGGCAATGATCGGCCCTGCCGCCGACCTGGGGTCGTACCACATCTCAGGACCATGGCTCCGGGCCTGCACATAGTAAATCACCACAGGCTGTGTACTGTAATGTGATGCTACTCTAATCATGGATCAGAATTCACTGGTCTACCCTGTACTGTCAGAACTATACCTGATAGTTAAAGCTGTTGCTGAACAACTCGCCGACTTTCTTGGCGTAGGTGGCCGAGCGGCCCGTCTCCGTGGCATAGAGAATGACAGCCTTGACGCGCCGACTCATGCTGGTCTTGAACATGCGATTGAACGTCTTCACCACCCTGATGGTCGGACGCACAAGTGAAATCATACAAACAAAAACACATGATGTATAACGTTACGCACACACATGCAAACCGACATATGCGCGCAAGCATGCGTGCACCCACGCACACACATACACACATGCAACCACAGACACGCACGCACGCATGCACTCACGAACGCACGCACGAACACATGCACACACACACGCACGCACGAACACAAGAGCATAGCAGTAGACGATTGAGAGGGAAGGCCATGCGGTATTGTCCGCAATTTGTGAGAGCCTTTCCTGCCACAAGCGCCATCTATATTGTATATGGCCTCACCATGCAAAGCGCTTGAATCGGTCTTTGCGATCGCCAAGCTTGCGATTGGCTTCAATCTTCCATGGATCTTCCTGGAGATTGAAGGCAATCAAGCATCAGAAGGGATAGAAATGGAATTGAAGAAAAGGCATTTTTGGGCAATTGAAAGAACTTTTGTTCCCTTTCCTGCGTACATTAATCATTTGAAAAGATATGATAGCCTTTGGAGTATGCTTGTGAACTTACACGATCACGGGGGGAGGAGGGGGGATATGTAATAGTATATCAGAGGCACGCTCTATTTGCCCTATGTTCAGTTAGATCATGTGTTTGTATGTGCGTGTGTGTGTGTGTGTGTGTGTATAAGGGGGGGGGGGGAGTATTGGTGGCCGCTATAAATGTAAAGAAATATACGTGCCAAAAGTGCCGCTCATTCAGTCATTCAGTTTTTATTCAATGGGCGTCTTCTGTGAATTATGTTTTGCCGGTAATGGCGAACTGTTCTTACCTGATACTCGTACGATGGCCTCAATTGATACATCAACATTTCCTAGATACACAAACACGCACACAAACACACACACACACACACACACACACACGTAATGATGTACAAGGACACACATACACACATACACACATACACATACTGTCGTGGACATGGAAATCCGGTCGCACGTCTAGCGGCCCCAGGGCGCTGGCCATGCAGCCGTGAATAAGCGGTACACACACGCATTTCTGCGCTGCAGCGTGCTGGTCGCATCGGATCAACATGTGCACTGCACACAGCGTTCTGTACGCCCTGAGGGCGCCCGCCCCGGTCAATCGACTGGATTTCCATCTCCGCTACAGTACATAGATGGATACCATCTAATATTAGTGTACATCCACAACATAGTTGCTAACCTCAAAAACTCTCCATGGCTCACAAACCAGTATCCATTAATACTATGGTGTCTCTGATTGAAAAGGGTCTATCATGAAAATTTTTGAAAATAGTTCCCTTCTGTTTGTCTGTACCTACCTGATGATATACTGGTGTAGTACTGGCAGACATTGGTGGGTTGACCCACACCCAGTCAGTCGGACAACCTCCACGAGTAGCATACTGAAAGCAGAGAGAGGCAATGCGAAGAACACACGAATCATGTTCAATCACACGTTTACATTCACGAGCAGTAATTCAGTTCCCTGATCAATCTGTTAGTGAAAACTTGTGAAACGGTAGGATCTTGGACCATTCATTTTTACAAAATACAAAGACTTATTGATCTACATAGCAGACTCAGCGGAGGACGTTCAGGTTGGTAACCTAATGATCTTATAACTGTGGGGAAACTGTGGGAAGACGTAAGAACAGTAGAATGGGAGGAGTGAATACCTCAAGGGTACAGCTTCTCTAGACAATGTGTTCTCCAGGTGTTCATGGTTTAGATTGCTATTTTTGCTCTCTCCCCTCTCTCACCTCCTTTTCCAGATGTTTCATGAAGCTCTCGGCGGCACTATGATGATCGGAGATGGTCACGTTGGCTTTCTGCTCAGCAAGGAATACAGCAGGGGCACACAGAACAAGGCATACATGGTCAACAATGTGATGGGTGTAGCGGGGAAAATGTCAGTGTATTCCGCAGTAGATCCTCCAAACACACACACACACACACACACACACACACTGAGGTCTATACACACATGCGCTCTCACACACACGCACACGCCCGCCCGCCCGCCTCTCCGTGAAGTGATTCATGAGCATTGCTGGCTGACACTAAGTCACAGAAAACAGACTGTGGATATCCCACACACCAAAAACACATCAGCAAAAACTCACCTGATAGCTGTAGAGGATAGCCAGGTTGACTTCCACCAGCGCCTTATCCTTCCACAACGACGATGCAGTGCGCGTGTCCAGCTCCATACGCCGAGCCACTTCCTGCAGACCCGGCATGGCCAAATAACATTCAAATGCAGTGACAGAGTTAATGGAGTTGAACCAAGATATAGCTGTACAGTAAAATCTGGTTTAAGCGACCACCCCACGCTGCAAGCAAAAGCGGTCGTTAAAGCCAGGTGGTCTTTAGAACCAGGTCCCACAGCGTCTGTGTAGAACTGTCGGTGCATGGACAAACGGTCATTAAGAGCAGGTGGTCGCTAAACCCAGAGGTCGCTTACACCAGGTTTTACTGTACGAGCAGTTGCGGTACGAGATCGTAAAAAGGTGCAGTACAAGCTGTGTTTGCTGGACCCTGAGCCAAGTGGAAATCTGAATTGACAGGAAAGGGTTTGTCATTCACCGAAGTGATGAGGATCGAAAGTGCAGCCCTGGATCAAGCAGACACCTGTCATATCTGGACAGTTTTCACTGCAACAAGGACGTCCGGCTAGGGCAGGTGTAAAACGTACCGGACATTATCCTGAACGATCGGCACAGCAAGCATTGCCTATGACTCACGGGTAATACGTTGTAGCGATTGTCATCACACAAATCTCTTCCAACCTCAGTGCCCATGTACCTGCATGGAAATTGACACGCACATCCGCAGGTAAACATGCCAATACATAGACACGCACATGCACGCACACACACGCACATGCACGCACACACACGAACACACAAGTACACACACACACACACTCACACACACACGAGTACGATTAACACAAATATTTTCTCAGATTACACCCAAAGATGCATCATGTGCAAGGAATTTTGTAGCCCTCAATCTCGTCTGACCCCATCTATTTTTAAACACAAAGTCAGAATGAGCACACTACTGTATTTGATCGGCTTACCAGCCATTGAACGGCGTAGCGGGGAATTCAATACCACCGCAGTCCAGCATCATGTTGGTGACGGCGGGAACCGTGTACCATTTCAGTGCCATGTCCGCAAACCACTCAAACCTGCACAACAGAGAACAGTAGCAACAACAGTAGAGTGCAGGGTCACTTTAACTGCATTCACTGGGATGGCATAGCTTGTGACAAGAAACAATGTGCGTGGGCATCACCCAAGAAGCTGGATATGCATTGTGTGTATGTGTGTGTGTGCGTGCGTGCGTGCGTGTGTGTGTGTGTGTGTGTGTGTGTGTTTGTGTGCATGTGTGTGCGTGCATGCGTGCGTGTGTGTGTGAGCATCACCCAACAGTAGCTGGATAGACAGTGTGTATGACGTCATGGTGATGTCATCCGCCGTACATCTCACCGGATGCAGTAAGTACTTTAGAGATAGCAACAAAGTGAAATCACTGTCATCCTGTCGCCCACTCAATCAAAGCTTGGTAGAGGACACATGCTGGTAATTTATGAAACGCTTTCTCTACGTGAATGGAACTGAATGCATGTCGAAACTGATGTCCTATGAGGCTATGTGTCTTGAGTAGTTGTACACATGTGTGTACGTATCTTGCTGTGTGTGTCCTGTTCACCCATCATACGCCAGTTGTCCTTTTCCATGATACGAACCATCTCATCACGAGAGCCATCCTGATGGTGGTTGTTAAGTGCACATGAGCGGTGCGTACAATAGCACTGCTCCTGCACATTACAAAATCCTGTTTCTCCTCATGGCACTTACGTCGGATGCGTGATGTCGACTTCCAGATTGAGATCGGCGATGTCGAACCACTCCGGTGGCTGGCCGCGCGCTTGCAGCACCAGGGGCAGCGTGACGAACGGCTCTTCCTTCTCCGGCTTCCAGCCTAATCCCTTGCACACCTGCATGCATGTGTGAGGAAATTTGAAAAAATTAAAACTGCTCTCACGTGAACCGTGAATTTTCTTAGCAGCCATCTTGGCTTCCGACTAGACAGCAATGCGCAGAAAGTTCGTATGCCTGTCCACTTTAGTTGTGACTAATCATATTTTATCTCCTGAAGCAAAATGAAGATAACAGAACAACATGTGGAGGACTAACAATGACAATGACCTCTCTCCATATTGGCACACTCCACTATACCAGAAACAGTCATTCACAAGTTGCGGCCGTGAAGTCATTCCGACAGGGAAGTCCCCTCAAGCCGTTGAGGCTATTCGAATGAATTAATTGAATATACCCAGGACCCCCCCCCCCCCCCCCGCCCCCCCCCCCCCCCCCAGAAAAAGATGATGAAATAGATCGGCCTCAGCCTAGTAGCTCTCCTGAAAAGGAATGTCTTGGCAAACATGAGGACTCTCCTTGCATTCTGACCTCAGTAAACTCCAGACTGGAGGGATCACCGATGACGCTGCCATCCTCCTGCTTGAATCCGGCGTACTTGAAGAACTGACCGTTCCACACACGGAAATCACTCTGGCCTTCAATGCGCTGCGGGAAAACAGTGATGGCCGACCTGGAGAATTGAGAAACACAGGATACGAAGAAGACTGAGAAGTCACGAAAAAGGAACTTTCATAACCTCTCCATCCAAGTAATTGATGCTCACTACACAAATAAGGTTGTGGAACTCTGCTGCAGTCAGATCAAAAATGCTTGCAATCATCTAGGTCGCTAACGTACTCCTGGCTGAAAGTTGACTAGCCCAGACCGTCACGCAAAATCGTGCATCTATACGTGACATCCACAGAACCGGCTGGGAGAGTATTTGTGTGCTCAAGTCTTTATCCTGAGCACATTTTTCTCTTCTTTTTTTCAGCTCCAGTATAGCTGTGTCTTTCATTGCAACACAGTTGTTAGCTCCTGGCCAAACATGCAGATGGATTCTGATTCCTATGGCAACGGAGCGGGAAACACGAATACAGTAAACTTGGCTAATAACGACTGCGGATATAACGACAATTCGCGAATAACGACAGAATTTTCATGCCCAGAGCAAAGTCCCATACCACTGTAACACATTATAATGAGACTTCGGGTATAACGACACTTCGCGAATAAGGACACCTTTTTGATGCCCCGCCGAGTGTCGTTATAAGCGAAGTTGACTGTAGTGAATACAGCGTAGAATTATCGTACTGTATGGATGTCGATAGTATTTTTATCACATCTACATGACCTTATCTTGCCCATAAAAGAGGCCGTTACCCCGAAAAATGTCTCTAGGAAAATACTCGTACATCTGTTACACAGTCCTCGCAGCTCGATTGTTGTGTTCCTTGTTCGGGGAAAAGTGGATATTCAGTCAAGAGGGCAGAGGTCAGAAGAGCCTGGTTGGAGTTTCGTGCAGCACAGGACAATCACACACAAACAGTTTGCAACCCTCTGCCGGAAAATGCTGATGGCTTCAGCTCACCTGATATTGCCTCCATTGGTGCCGTACTCGATGTGCCGCTTGATAGCATCCAGCATTTCCTTTGCCGTAGTCACGTGACGACAGTCAAACAACTGCAGATGAAGAGTACAAATTAGCAGAACATGGTGACCTCAGATCACCATCAATCTTTACGACAACCTTCTCAAAATGAAAAATGAAATTTCACCCGGTCTTCTCTAAAGATGGAGGAATCAAGAGGAAAGCACAGGTCATAACAAAAACACGGAACGGCTGAAGGACAGTGTGTGCACCTATGACCTGGATCCGTGTGAAATTGTTGGACCTCTGCCACCTCCACTCGTTACGCTGTGCAACGTCCATAATGGAATTCTAGGAGGAATATTGATGCGAACACCGCCGGAAGGATAGCTACCGTATTTCCCCGATTATAAGTCGCACCCCCAATTTCAGGTTTGAGCAATATTGATTAATAATTATTATAATGACTTCAGTAGTACAGTCAACTTGGCTTATAACGACATTCGGCGGGGCATCAGAAAAGTGTCCTTATTCGCGAAGTGTCGTTATACCCGAAGTCTCATTTTATGTGTTACAGTTGGATGGGACTTTGCTCTGGGCACGGAAATGCTGTCGTTATTCGCGAATTGTCGTTATATCCGTCGTCGTTATTAGCGAAGTTAACTGTAAGTCACGCTCAATTGTAAGTCATACTCCCTTTTTTACTCGGATACTGAGCCAGTAATAAAATGTAGAAAAGAGAAGAAACACCGTTCATTATCTTGTTACAGTCGTGGATAGTTGCTGCATAACTCGTTCTCATTAGTCCATCAGCCAGTGGTGCCAAAGTGAGTCCCCTGTTGCACTTACAAATCGAACACCTGGAACTGACATCAATCGACAGCAAAAGCATCACTGAATCCGACCTGCCTACTTTCCCTGGCGAAACTCTTGCACTCCTTTTGCAGTGCGCCTTGGAAGTTCGACAAATTTCTTCTTCTTCATCAGCCATTACGAGGTTTTTCATCCGTTTTATCAGGACATCCAATGCGTCTTCAGTGAAAAACGTGGAGTTTTGTCAACGTTTGGTGTGGTTTTCCGTGGCGATCGACCTAAAATCGCGAAATAAATCGCCGTCGATTTGAGCAGAGGTGAGTTGGCTTGGAGCACGTACAGATTCAAAAACTATGTGTACATGCGCACCGGGAAGAAGATGAAGATGCTCACCATTTTCAAATAACAAATTCAAAAAACTACATGACTATTGTACTGCAATTGTTGTAGTTACTTGTTTGCAACTACAATGGTATCAAGTAGATAATCAAGCGAGGTACAGAGGGATTGATGGCTGATCAAAGCCCAAGGGACCAGCCCGAGGGCTTTGATCAGTCATCAAGCCCGACTGTACCTCGCTTGAATATGCTTCAGACGATCCCCAACAATTTTTTTGATTTTGATTTCAATCGCTTTATCTTTGGATGATCTAGAGTGTGGTAGATAGTACTTCGAAGTAGTACAACTGTAACTGTACTACTACCTGGTTGCAACATGTTCAAAGCAGCCTTGCCTTTATTTCAACTGTTTGCTGTCAGCATCCAGAGTCATGGCGTTTGCTAGTTGGTCGTAATGGAGAAAAGAACTGCATGGCATTCACTCGATGTAGAACATCCATCGCCGCAGATTCCTTACTTTTAGCTCTCCACGTTCCTTATTTTTCCAGGGATCAGGACCTTCCCGGGGTGATTCCATTCAGGGTGGAAGCGTAGATCACTTTTGCCAAACAGTAAAAACTACGCTTCAAACCTGCTTGACATGACTCGGGGTGCATACTTCGGAAACCCGAAGGTGGATGATGTTCAATACTAGCTCATTGTAATCTTCCTGAAGGTATGTATTCGGATGCTCAATTAAATAGAACAGCGAAAGAGATGTGTAATGGAACAACACTCTACAAGTAGGCGAACAACAATTTTATTGTAATTTGAATCCAGGCACACGTGTAATACGGAAACTGCAATGGTTTACACTGCAAATCTTCTCGATTTGCAAGATTTTTCCCGTAATTCACAAAAATCTGAAGGTTCATTCCTGAAACGCGCATAACACTGATTGGAGATTGGGTTTAGGTCACAACAATGGCTGTCGATGAAATGCCAAAAATGGTCACTTTGTCGGCTTCCCCCTGCAGAGCATGCAAGTCGTTTACTCTTTTTATTTGCGGATTCGGTGTACAGGGTACCTAAACTCCCCATTGAGGCCAAAATCAAGTATTCGATTTCTAAGTGCAACAGGGTGCTTGAATTTGACGACTTCTGAGTTCTTGGCTGATGGACTACATGTGTTTCTTCTCTTTTCCCTGTTTTACCCTTGAATTTTAGTGTAAAAAAGGTGCGACTTATATTCCGGGAAAATACTGTTACGATGCGGTCAGTGCCTACTGTGCGAGGTGTGTAGAGTATCAATTGTGCAACCATGCCGCATAGACAGGAAGGAGTTGTGAACAGTGACACTCAAGTAGCATGTGACCGGTGAGAGTAGCAGCTAGAACCTCACGTTGTGAGGACCGCGCAAGGAAGCTCTGCTAATGGCCAGTGCTCAGAATCACCATGGGAACAGAGGCAGAACGCTGCTGTGTATACTAGTACTCACCAACACACGCACACGCACATGCACACGTGCACACACACACACACACACACACACGCGCACATGTACAAGTGGTCACGGGAGAACATCCACAAATTCAACGTATGAGACCTTGAAAGTTGAAGGTACTTTGCCAACACTCATATATCCAGATCATGATGCCTGCCTCACCTGAAGCCTGCTCCACTGGATGCGTCCAATACAACGCGGCGCATTACGCCAGGCCTGCTTGCAACCGAACGCCAGTTCCTTCTCGGTGATATTGTACGTGCCGCGGTCCTCGATCTCTAGCAGGATGGTTGCCAGGCGACGCTCGTGAGCCGGACTGTCCTTGCTGAGGTTACCATGGGAACAGAGTGAGCACAGCGAGAGAAAACACGATTTTAGAATTTATGGATAAGAGCTACTGTAGTTGTCTTTGTGGACAGGTGTTCTTATCTAAGTGGTCTTTTTACCAGTTCGACTGTAAGCTTGAGCATGGTTTGGCCGATATCAACAAACAAGAGGGGTAGGAGGGGTGTCAATGATATGGCCAATGTGCATGCGTATGTGTGTACGCATGCGTGCATGTGTGTGTGTGTGTGTGTGTGTGTGTGTGTGTGTGTGTGTGTGTGTGTGTGTGTGTGTGTGTGTGTGTGTGTGTGTGTGTGTGTGTGTGTGTGTGCACGCACAAACGTGAACATGACCATGTGTGTGCGTGTGCGTGCGTGTGTGCGTGCATGTGTCGCGTACATGTGTCGCGTACATGTGTGTAGGGAGAGCGCACCATAATTCCTATATGTATTCAGCGTTCTTAAACTGTCACAGCTGCATGCCTTCGCAACCATAGCAACCATAGCACTTCAAGCATAATAAACTGTGCATGGAACGGTCCATCGTCACAATTTTGAATTTTAATAGATGGGTATTCATTAGTTTGAGGGAAAGGTGCAAATAGATGGGATACCTCTATGTAAAGGGTTACAATGTCATGTAAAATGAGACATAGCCATTGCCTCACTTGTTGGATAATAACCAAAAAAATGATCCATTTTATGAGCGGCTTGTATCTAAATCAATATTTGGCCACCATTTTTGAAGTGGTTCTATTCATATTTTTTGATGTGAAATTTTTCCTGAAGGTGTCCGGCCCGTAGACCTTTTGATTACACTGAGCTCAAAATCTCAAATATTTTCTCAAATTTGGCACATTTCGCATTTTTCATCCTTACTCTTTACATATTGCTAAGTATCAAGTTACCTTTTCAGTGACGTGTAGTACTGGTTCAAGAAATCCCGAGCATGTTCCTCCACCTCCTCTTTCGGCCGCACCACACCGTGTGGTCTTTTGGGCTGCTGCTCGCCGCCACTCGGCGTCATCATCGAGCCAACGCATCGCTGTGACGTACAGGCTATCGGGCACACCTGTGCAGGTACACATTTTGCGTTCGTGTGTGTGTGTGTGAGAGTTATAGCTACCGTAAAGCCTGTCAAGGCGACCGCTCGGATAAGGTGACCACCTGTCCTGGAACTGGCAGAACACCACTGCGGCCAGGACCAAGGGATGCTATTTCCAGTCAAATGGCACTGGATAAGGAGACCACCTGGTTACAGAGACCACACTTTGAAAGTCCCCGGAGCAGTCGTCTTAAACAGGTTTCACTGTATTTGAATAACCGTACTTACACCTATCTACACAGTACACTCAACTAATGTTACTTTCAAATGCATTCTTCCCAACACTGGGCAAAATTAAGTAGAGCTGAACTCGGATGCTGAGCCAATGCAATTATGGATAAGAAGGAGAAGGACAAAAGCGGCACGAGTTATGACTAACAGGCATAATAATTTACTGTCCACCAACGTAACCAGATCATTATACATGTATATTATACAGTCAGCAAGTGCGAGGTATGAGTTATGAGCGAGTTACGTTGGTGGACAGTTAGTAGTCATAACTCGCACCATTTTTGTCCTTCTCCTTTTCTATCCAAGACTAAGTAAGCCCCCTTCCTACGGATCTGGAGGCTCAAATCTCACTCCGATTGGTGATGTTCGGGTTTGACATTCCACGTACATGGCCGCGCAAACAAGCAGATTTCACAACACGCATTTAGCATCCACTTGAGATAGTGGAATGCACATGGAACAGTGCATAATTATCCTGAGTGGTCTGCTTCACCATGGGGTGACGTGGCTGTACGCAATGGCACTTGACTGCACACTAGCTAACTGGTGGCACAGATCCCAAAAGGTTCCTCAATTCAATTGTCTGTCTTGACATGCTACAAGGTGCAGAAATAAATAAAATTTAATAAAATAATTAAAAAAGAAACCAGGCTAGTATGTCATTTAAAGCCAGGCTGGTATGCTACGTGTGCAGGTCACTGTTGGTATGGTATGGTATGGTATTGATTTATTTGAATTCGGTATCTCAACAGTACAATGTACAACTTGGGAAGATCCGAATGACATAGATACATAAACATAAAAATAAATTTAAAAAAATTGCAAGGCTGAAGAATTGACCGCCACTATTCAGCCTGGTCTACACCACACAGCTATGAAGTGGCACTGTTACCATTAGTACTGTAAAAGCAGAAATTTTCGGTGACTTCGGTGCCGAAATATTTACCGAAAATAAAACGCATCGAAAGTGTGCGTACTGTACTAGTGCACATACGTGGAAAGCGGGTTTACCGGAAATTTTCTTCCACCGAACCGCCGATGTTGGAGAACACCGAAAATATTACGCCACCGAAAATTGCTGCTTTTACAGTACGCCACCGTACACCACAGGAGGATACTGGTAGGGAGTAGCTAACCTAGGCCTGTAGGCCTGTAACCTAGGCCTGTAGTGGGCCTTTGCGGATGATACCGGCAGAAAAATTGGCAGAATTCGGTACTTCTTCTGGTAAGTTTCATGCATGTTTGGTATGTGGATAAAGAAATGGAGCTGAATTCGAGGAATTGCCCACCGTAAGGTTTGTATGATTGTGCCAATTTCACTGCTCGTTTCGAGCAGAATCTGCCACCTTTTCGAGCAGAATCCAGAATCCGCACACCCCTAGCCAGTAGTGGGCAGGTATTGTGCACCATGTCATGTGGTGTGTTTGACAGGTGCACGGTCAGAGCTAGAGACACGTGGCAGTAGGCCATGCTTGTCTGGAACAGTCAGAATGGTGTTTTACAGCTGGCCTCCTGTCAACTAGCTAAACATGCCCCGAGAGGGCCAGAGCGTGTTAGGCGAGATTAGTGAAAAGCACATAAGCACACCATACAACCGCACACACAGATACACGCACACAGACACAGAAGACACACACACACACACACACTCACAGAAGACACACACAGACACACACAGAAGACACACACACACACACACACACACACACACACACACACACACACACAGAAGACACACACACACACACACACACACAGAAGACACACACACACACACACACACACACACACACAGAAGACACACACACACACAGAAGACACACACACACACACACACAGAATACACACACACACACAGAAGACACGCACACTCACACACACATGTATACACACACACACAACTTGTACTCGCTCACATGGGTCACTTTCCCCCGCCCCTCCTCCCACTCCCAGAGAGAAGAAAAAGAAAAGAAAAAGAAATTTGAAGATGACTCAATTAGCTATTGAACCACCCAACAGCTGACAACCCTGAAATCCCTAAACTCTGGGTAGACTTGGAAGTGATCCAACTCATGGGCTCACCAGACTTGGAAGTGATCCAACTCATGGGCTCACCACACCTCAGTAAATGGGTGAGGACAAGGCGCACCCCATCAAGGTATCTGTCCTAAACTTGCAGTTGAATCCCCGGGACACACACACACACACACACACACTCTCTCTCTCTCTCTCTCTCCCTTACACAGGCACATGCTAACACACACACACACACACACACACACACACACACACACACACACACACACAAGCAAGCATTGGGAGATTTGCAGCCAATGGATTGGTGTCACTATAAGTTTTATCTTTACTGACTGCTTGAGGAGTCAGTGCCGCAGCCTAGCCTGTTGGCCTTGGGGCAGTGCTTCATCTATCTTGAAAAGTGCACTTCACCCTCTGAGTCATCCACGACAATAACAACATGACATTGTCCTCTTCCAGCTCATTCCCTTCTCTTATAATTATATGATTGGATAAGGTACAGAGATGAACAATTCAAGACCTACGGAACGCTACCTGGCTACTCTTTACATGAACCTGTGTATGTAGATTAGACCTCTGACTCTGTGTAGCGATTTCGCAGCTGCAATCCATCGTGCTTTTTTTTTTTAATCCATCGAGCAAGGTGAATACCCGTAGTTATTGTTTGATTGGTCGCCTATTGTTTGGTGGGGTACAAACACCACCAGGGGAGCGTCGCTACCAGGTGTGATTAGTGAGATTTTGGCTTACCATGATACCGCTCTGATGCAGGGTGTCCACCGCATCGTGGCCTGTCTGCAGGTTCTTGAGGCGAATGAACTCCTTGCGCTTCGTGAACATGGGTGCCTCCGCTTCCGGAAAGGCACCGGCGTCCATTGAGGCACCTCGAGCCATCAGTCGACGAAGCGCGGCACTGTTCGGGGGTAAAGCACTGCCCGCCTCCACCTGGACCGAAGCCGATCTGCCATGTGTCGCGAGCTTGGCCGTAGCGCGCTGTTTTGATCCAGCCGCTCCATCGTCGTCGAAAACTTCCTCTTCATTCATACCGGTACGCGGCCAGTTGGCGCCGGTAGGTAGTTTTCGAGCTTCCTTACGCGCAGGTTCGGCCTACGCTATGGACGAGCTGCAGAAGTTAGCTACCTTTCTGATGACCGACCCTCGACGTCGATTGCGAGGTGGAACGCGACAATTATTGTTGTGCAAGTGGTTCCGAAGTGCCCCAACTGAGTGGTAAGAACCTCTTTGGGAGGTTGAGGCATACGCACATACCTACACAGACGCATACACACACACATACAATGTCATGTACATGCGAACAAAGCTTGTAAATCCATCATCTCTATCTACATGATTGTACAGGCTGAGTCCAGGTCTGTCAGCCTGACCCAATATGACTGTGTTGACTGGGAACTGTCAATAACATGTTTTCTGTTACCGGCTCCATGCCGATCTGTATTCGGAATATCCGACTGGTAGTGGTAGTGGTAGATCTACGGCCCGGCCGTGCATGGCATGAGTGTTCCAGTACCGGTACATGACATTTGTGCACAGAATTTACGTGTACTGGAGAAAGGTTTCCCTTCCACTCACAAACTGTTCCACGTCCGTTTGTAGCTCTGCGGTGATCACTTGCTTACAGTAACACTCTCTCGGCTAGATTGTCAAGCAGATGAGCTATAACTAATAACTCTCCAACCTTATCAGCCAGAGCCACTGATATGATGACGACCTAGACTAGCTAGAGTCTAGAGGGTGCTACTATAATAAATTAATATATAATCAAGAAAAAACAACGAAGACAAGTGCATGTGGTATCGTAGGACCTGCGCGCACTCGAGAACTCGACCTCCGCAGATGGCATTCTCCTACTACTACTCCTACTACTACTATCGTGGACATGGAAATCCGGTCGCACGTCTAGCGGCCCCAGGGCGCTGGCCATGCAGCCATGGCCAAGCGGTACACACATGCGCTGCAGCCCGCTGGTCGGATCAACAATGTTACATGCTTGTGCACTGCATTTTTTTTCCATGCAGCGTTCTGTACGCGCTGAGGGGCCAGTAAGGGCGCCGGGCCGCCGGCCCCGGTCAATCGACTGGATTTTCATGTCCGCTACAGTATACAGTACATTGTAGTATCCTGGGGAACGCTGAAACTCGCAGTATAGTAGAAGGCCATGGTCCATGGATTGTAGGTAAATAACTGGACAGTCATGATTTCTCCCGTTTTCTTTCACTTGTCGTGATCGTGCTAACCTGCGGGCTCACGGAAGATGAATGGGCAAGATCACCGGCCATTGTCTGCTGAGATGACAGAAAGCTGAGAAACTGCCAACAGGCGGTCGATGATCACACGCTAACCATAATCCACGTGATGGGACCACGCAAACAGGGAGAAAATAAACACTGCACGACCGAGGCAAACAGTAGATCTACTATTACTAATGCTTCGCGCGGTGATGCATTGTAGATCTACTACGGTTGTGGGAACGGACAATTTGCGGCTCGGATGTGCAAGACTACGCTGGACTTTACTCTTTAGTCCCCATGACTCGTAGATTCTGCAGAAGCATCTAGGCCAGGGAAGCATGGCGCAACCGTGGCGAATGACAGTCCTGACGTGAGGCTGCGGCCTGGGGCGCCAGCGGCGAAACGAATACAGAGAAGGATCGTCAGGCGAACGCAGAAAACACTGCCAAGCCTTGCGCAGAAACATTCGTCTATGGTTAGGGACGTTCGTTCTGCATTCCAGCTCTCGGCACTTTGACAGAAATTGTGGTTGCTGGAAGTGGAAGGCAGCCCCCTGCTGGGTTCCGTGTATTTCCTGATCTGAGCTGTGTTGGGATCAGCTGTAAGTGTAACGGACTACATCGGAGAGAGCATAGCTAGCTGAACTAAGCCTGGGACTGTGGACATGAAGCCGAGGCAAAGGCCATCTAACCATCATCATCATCATCATCAATGTACATGCACTACAACTACTTATAGCATACAAGTGTGTGAAGTGAAGCCATTTTGCATTGGTCACACCTCGGTTCCAGATCACAGTTCGCCGGCTGCTACAACAACACTGATTGTCGGAACACTCTGGATCACTTCATGCCATTCTTATGACCCTCACTGTGCTTGTGCTGGTAGTCTAGCATGGTAGATCTACTACTACTAGTATACAGTCGTGTAGGCAATCAAAGCCACCACCAGCATTCTTGACAAAAAATTAATGTCGTTTTACCGGAGTCGACGCCGGCTGCACTTCTGAACCGACTGACTAGACGCAGGCTGCGACTGTGAGTGTGAGTGTGAGCTCTCACAAAGTCACACGTGCCAAAGAGTACCGGTACCGCTGTGTGGAGAACCCCTTCGGCCCTGGCTACGTTCAATTATTTTGTGCCAGGCGCCACATTACATTCTGCGTTGACCTTTCACCCCGTCAGCAGGGATGTAACACCAGGTTTCTGGACGGTGACCAAAGCCAAGGCCGGCCCGGCACTCAAAATATCTACACTGTAGCGCCTGCGACCCTGCGCCAAAGTCGACATGGAAAGAAGAAAGAAAACCAAAGATACAAGGGCCTAGGATGAAACTCGACGATGAAATCAAAATGAAAATTTGAAGAAAAAAAGTCTAAGCCGAAGAAACTCAAGGCAAATGTAACAATGTTGTGTAAAAGATTCAACTCAATCCCTAGACGAATGCTTTGAAAAGATGTGAAGTGTGCATAAGTCAATAGGTGTGTGAAAGATATTTTCGTACCAAAGCGTGAACCTTAGAAGTTAGTTGGGTTACACCGTCACGTGTAGTTTCTGCTCCAAAATTCAGCGTGCAGTTAACTTCAAATATAATTATTTATAGCAAGTACCCAGTACTCAGATGGTGAGAGCCAAGTAAAACATCCCCTTTCTTCCTGTTGTATCTTTACTGTCCGGCGTGTATTTACCGCCATATTGCCAGGTGCGTGTTTACCACCAAAATTATGAATAAAATGCTCAGGAAACTAGGAAAATACTAAAATCATGGAAACAAGGAAAATGGTGGGGCACAAGTTATGTGTTAGAGCCAGGGAGTCGTACAAAACCAAAGGGTGTACTAGTACGACTCCCTTGTTAGAGTCCACCAACTAACCAGATGTTCAGTCAGACGTGCACACCGGCGGTAGCGCCTGAGTGACAAGGAGTACTGAGACATTCCACGGCAAGGAAGTCAGCCTGAGCACTGCTCGACTGCTCGACCGAGCACTGTCAGTCTGGTGCTATCTTGTGCACGTCTGACTGTTCAAAATCCGACTAGTTGGTGAACCCGAACGCATAACTACTTGTGCCCCACCCTTTTCCTTGTTTCCATTTAGTTCTGACTCTGCTTCTATTTACAGCTATAGCATACCACAACAGCAATATGCTGGCCCTGGCCTGGAGATCTGCAACTGCAATCGGTTTCTACTTTGCAATATTAACGGATTAGTCCCCTTTGTCGATTGATGGATCAATCGGAACCAACGCATTCGTCACTCCGATTAGTAACTTCGGCTCTGCTCTGTTTTGTTTTGAACTGTATACGTATGTTTAACTCATTGTATTTCTTTGTATTCTGTATCTCGTTATCGTTATCTTTTCCTTGGATTGGCGCAATTGGTGTTGTGAATAAACCTGTTCTCAAATCACGGGTAGTATTATTTCCATGGTCTCTTGCCTTTACTGAGGAAG